GAACCAAACAGATTAGCTAAAAGCCTTACAACAGTTCCTCTCCATCATTGCTCTTCAGTTTGAACTCAAGCTGTGGCATGACAGACAGCAGCAAATTGGGATCAATAACAAAAAGCTCCTGTATCAGGTTAAATACATGCTCTGACAAATCACTTACAGAATACTTTCTTAGTACCAGAATCTGGTTAAAAAATGGCTCAATGGTCTGGACTGTTCTTTTCAACAGAATGCTTGCAAGATGAAACACCTGTTTATTGAGATTCTTGTGTGCAGGAATAAGAATGATAAGAATTGAGTCCAATAGTTCTTATGTCACTCCATCGCCTTTCATGATGATAGAACTCATGAAATCTAACATGTGCATTTGCACTTTCTGGTTATGACTATTATTGATAACTGAAAAGATAGTCCCAAAAAGCTGAATAAAAATCTCATTGCAGTCTTCCAACTCAAAGCAAATGTTGTCAGATTTAACCAAAGCTAAATTCTCTAGTAAATAAAAGTATCTGTTAAATTAGAGGCTTTTAGTGTCCTCCAGTCCTTTTAATTGCCTTGTAATAAACAAGAATATATCCTTGAGTTTGTCATGGTGTGTGTATTGGGCTTCTGGGCATAAATTCTAAAGATATCAGCCAAGCAACGTGCTACAAGGAGACAGACAACTTTATTGAGATTCCTGAGTAAGAATTCTGATGCAAGGTGCAAGCCTAAAGGGAGATATTTTTGTTTTCCATCATTTGAGTCCCGATCCATGTCCATAAATATTTTCACTACTATCTTCAAGCGTTTGACCACTTCATTGTTGGTGATTTTATCTGTGATCTCTTTGACTCCAAGGGAATAAAAGATGACTTTACCATTGGTGGCAGGCTTTGGTTGAGCAGATGGGAAATCCATCCTGGGGCTGCCGCTGGTTGTAAAGTTTTCTTCTCCAGCCTTCTTCTGGCCTCTCATGCAGCTGTGGAAGGTGCAGCATTGAGCAGCCTCCAAGGGTGGCTGAGGCAGTGGAGGGAAGAGGAGGAGGAGGCAGACAGATCCTTCATCATCGTCTTTGTCTCCTTTGTTGTCATCTCCTTCTGGGCTCCCTTACCCCCAGTGTGTGCCTTGGTCCCAACTGTTCTGACTGGCTCTCAGGGAAGGCTTGCACAGAGTAGGTGCCTCATTGGGCTCCTTGCTGCCAGGAAACAGTGCTGCTCCCCAGCCAGCCAGGGAAGGGCAGCCCTGGAGGAGGAGGCTGAGGAAGAGGGAAGCCAGTGCATTTAAAATTGTTTTAAACTATCTGTTTTTAATAATATTTGTTTAATTGTTCTTTTACACTTTTGTAATATAACATTTTAACCAATTCCTATTTTAAATTATTATAAGCTGCCTTTGGAAGAATTCTTGTTCATTTCTGTTCTTGAATTCAAGAACAAAACAAGAGGAAAATACAAATTCCTAAACAGAGCAGATGCATAGGTCACCTGGAACTGAGAAACGAAACCCCACAAGTCAGTGATTTTGATGAGAAGAAAAGGTGAAAGACCTCAGTGTAGCCTTCACAACTTCCTTTCAAACAATTGATCAGTATAATTTTAACTTTATTGATTGGGTTATGATCACTCAAGCCCAGCTGCTGAAGCACAGGCATGCAATTCTTCACTAATAGTTTTTTTTGTGGGTTTTTTTTGGGCTGTGTGGCCATGTTCTAGAAGAGTTTCTTTCTGACATTTCGCCAGCATCTGTGGCTAGCATCTTCAGAGAAGAATTTCTCTGAAGATGCTAGCCACAGATGCTGGCAAAATGTCAGAAAGAAACTCTTCTAGAACATGGCCACACAGCCCGAAAAAACCCACAAAAAAAACTATGGATGCCGGCCATGAAAGCCTTCGACTTCACAAATTCTTCACTAATGTTCTTGATTGAAGCAGCAAGTAATTTTAGCAAGTTCTGTCTTACTGTGAGACCATCTTTGAAAACTGTGCAGATTTTTTTAAAATTTAATTTATATCCAACCTTTCTCTAAGGATAGGATACAAGGCAGCTCTGATAGAATCCAATAGGGTGCAGAGGATCCAATAATTTTTGAATTCTATTTGTAGTTCAAGACTTATCCTGCTCAAAGTTCACAAATGGCTGTTTTGTGTGTGTGTGTGTGTGGGGGGGATGACAGCATTTCCTGCAGAGGAAATATCTGTGTGCATAGTCATTATTTTTCTGCACAGAAAATAATATTTTTGCATAGAAATATTGATTTTCTGCACAGAAAAATGCTGCATTCTGAACAAAGCAACCATGCCAGACTAATTTTATCCTTTTTTTAAAATTACCAGCTTGGTAGATGTAGGGAATGCTGTGGATATAGCATATCTTGATTTCAGTAAGGCCTTTGACAAGGCCCCCCATGATATTCTTGCAAACAAGCTAGTAAAATATGGATTAGTCAATGTGACTGTTAGGTGGATTTGTAACTGGCTGACTGGTTGAACCCAAAGGGTGCTCAGTAATGGCTTCTCTTCATCCTGGAGAGAAGTGACCCGTGGAATGCCATAGGGTTCTGTCCTGGGCCCAGTGCTATTCAACATCTTTATCAATGACAGAAATGTTATCCAACCTAAATAAAAAGAACAAAACATTACCCCAAAAAAGTAGGAAAGCTAGAAAAAACTTCTCTCTTGCTCTCGCAGCATCCTTGCCTTCCCTCAGCAGCTGTTCCTTTAAGAGCCCCAGTTAATGGGGAAGGCTGGAGGGGGAGAGACATTCACACAGAGAGAGGCACAGGAGGGAGAAGCAAGCTTTTTCTGTGTGTGTGTGTCCCTGCCTTTGCCTCAGCAGCTGTTCCTTTAAGAGCCCTGGCTGAATCATAAAAGGCTGCATCCCTCTCAGCACAACAAAGCAGCACTGGAAGTAAACTCACCCCAAAGAATCATGGGAAATCTGGCAACAAGTACCAAAATGGAGAGAATCCCACAAATAGCTTTCACACTATAGCAATTATGTAAAAAAGCGATATCGTGAATGAAACAGAAATGAATTCATGATATTTTCCCAAAAATGCTTATTTTCTAGTTCATGTCACTTTCTTGACAGATTCTATGTGGTTTGCATGCAACGTCATGTGAAAATCATCTGCGCAAGTGTACCTAATATGCTGGATAATCACAGATTCTTACCTGTTTAATCTTCCAATTTCCCCTGTGTGATAAACTTCATAGTCAAGGTTGATAGTTCTCACCTTGTCTCTCCAAAGCTACTCTTAAATATGTTGTCAAAGGGCAGTTTTAATTCCAGCCAAACTGATAGTTTTCCTGTCCTCAAAACAGATTGTATGAAAATTATTTTTCCTGCATAGTTGAAATTTCTAGTTCTTGTCCCTAGATTGTTGGAATGTGTGTTAACACTGTATGCAATTTCACACCTTATTGAAATAGACTCCAGGGTTTTACGATTACAAGCTCAACAAAAGTAGGCTAAAGCTAAGAGACCTGGAAGTAGGGCTAAGGTATCGTAATCCTCTGGACAACTGGGATGGTTTGCAGGTTGAGGGATGCAAGAGGTCATCATGGATGTCACAAGCACAGTAATCAAATTGGCAAGGCCATCCACCTACCCACCAGGTCTATCAGAGAAAATGAATAAGTTCATAGTCAAACACAGGCTTGTATGGAGGAGAGAAGATGGGAAAGAGCAGAAAAAGAGCATTAGAATGATGCAAGAAATGGCAAGTTGTAGAAAAACAATCAGACAGTCACTATAATGCCAACTAGCAGTTAGAAAGCATAGGCATGCAAAGACTGCTAACTCTAAAAAGCAAACAGAGAGAGGCTAGCATGAGCAATGCTGCTCCGTTGGCTTGTCCTGACAGCAACAAGAAAGAAAACTGCATAGAGTCAGCCTTGAAGAAATCAGTAATCCAATAGGAATTCTTCTGGTTTTAGGAAAGCATTCTCCTCAGTATACCTTTTCATTCTGGACAACTAGGAGGCTACAAAACAACCATTGTCTTGCTCTGCTCTTAGTTATCCTCATGCCTTTCTGTTACTGAATCTGATTTCCAGCCCACACCATCCACCTCTGCCCCTTCATAGCATTATTCTCCTACTTTACAACCTGAATATTGGCCTGTTTGGCTTCTGCTATTTGCTTTCACTTGTCTGGGCCTTGATAGTCAATATGTTATAGATTGCTCGACCATCTAAGACAAAATTGTGTTAGTGACAGAATTTGGAAAGAATTATCACATGTCAATACTTTTCTGTGTTTGAACTTTTGTGTACAGTACCTTTCCATTCAGCTACTATCATCTATCCCTCCAGCTCCTGACTAGAAAGACTTGTTGCTCCTCAGAGCTGCATGGTAGTTCATGGGAATATGCCACAGGATCACTAATATTGTTTCCAGTGAATTTTAATAACATCTGAAGCACACAAAATCCTTCTGAATGATGCAGCAACCATTCCCTCCTGCTTTGTAAATTTTTAATATACTCTTCTGTATGCAATACAGCCGCATTGCCACATCATTATGCTGCTTCTTTTTTTTTTAAAACAAAAAACCCCAAAACCCAAAAACCCAACACAAATGCATTCTGCAGCACTTGGTGAAAAAGTGTTCCAGGTCTACAGGGAATATTTACAGCTGTTTTGTACAGTTTCACATGAGTAATTATATTCTATGAGCATCAATTTTCTGGACAGAAAGCTAAGAAGTAGTCTTTTTTAAAAAAGAAATAAAACAATATATCCTTCCTTTTGGAACATGTGCTAACTTTCTGACATACAAAAATATGAGGCTCCATCTCACTGGGTCAGAACACCAAATCCTTTGATTTAGTACAGTCTAAAACAGGGGTAGGTAACCTTTCCCCTTTAAGGGCCGAGGGACTTCAGCTCCCAGATTCCCAGGAGCTATTGGCCAACATGGGACTATTGGCCAACATGGCTGGGGCTTCTGGGAGCTGAAGTCCCTCGGCCCTTAAAGGGGAAAGGTTGCCTACCCCGGTCTAAAATAACTATTTGAGAGCCAATGTGGCTTAGTGATTTGGGCACTGGACTATGACTCTGGAGACCAGGGTTCAATTCTCCAGTCTGCCATAAAGGAAGATGATGATGAGCCATGTAACTCCAAGGGAGAATCTTGAAGCTGTGAGTCAGAAAATCTACTCCAGGGGTAGGCAAGCCTCTTCCATGTTGTCCAATAGTCCCATGTTGGCCAATAGCTCCTAGGATTCTGGGAGCTGAAGTCCCTTGGCCCTTAAAGGGGAAAGGTTGCCTACCCCTGATCTACTCTGTCCTGTGGTCAAAAAATAAACCTGGTGTCTGAACCCTTGGGTACAGACTGCCAGAAATAGTGCACATTAAATTGAGGCACTGCCCTGGCTCAGTGCTGGGGAATCATGGGAACTGTAATTTAGTGTGGCACCAGAGCTCTCTGACAGAGAAGGCTCAATGTCTCAGAAAAAAATACAATTCCCATGATTCCCTAGCACTGAGCCAGGGCAGTGCCTCAATTTAATGTGCACTGTTTCTGGCAGTCTGCTTAGGCCTTTACTTTAGGTGAAGCCAGAAGGGAGTAGAACAACAGACTCAACAGTTTGGCTCTATAGAAGGAAAGGAAACCTTCATTTGGTTCCTGGCTGTTTGATCAAGCCAAGGAATGTGTAACTTCCTTGTGGTAGAGCAATGCATTACCTCCTCCTGCCTACTGGGAGCACACCCTCCCACTTGCTTGACCACTGTATAAATTAGTAAAGATGGCAACAGCTGGTGAGAGTAATTTTGCATGGAGAAATGGTGGAATGGCACTTAAAAGGTCAATTGAAATACTGAAAAAAATTGCAGCCATCTATTAGAACTTCTTCCCACCAAAGAAAGAGTGTCATATTAATAGAAGAGAAGATGTCTGAATGGACAAAAAGGGTTGAAATGAATTCATTCATGAAATAGCTCATGTAATGCTTGCAGCTCTTTCTGTTCTTTAGGGGGTGGTTTAAACTTAAAATGTTTTAGGCATATTGGACCTATGTTTTGAGTCTAACTGAGATCAAAGCCAAATACAAAGAAGCTCTCTGACTATTTTTGAATGTCTTGCTGTTAACTAATTTATTCATGGTAATTCTATACCTGCCATCAAAGGAACATGTGGATCGATGTAGCACTCAAGTAAAATGGGTTTTTCTTTCAATATGAATTGGGAATGGGGGTGTCATTTGTACAGAGGACAAATCTCTCAGTAATGATATAATGGGGAAAATAAATTTGATTCAAGCATCAGGCCTACAAGTGGTCTATAGTTCTAAGGCTGGAATTCAAATTCTACATGCAGCATTGTTTGTAAGAACTGAGGAATGAATTGTAGAATTGGCATCCAGAGATTCTCAGAATTCACTGTTCTCTTGAAGCAAGTTCTAGTCCTCATGGTTTTAGGAATTAAGACCATTGGTGGTTGAAGTTTCTGAATCTAAGCAGGTCTTAACAGGGTTTCATTCCTCTGTGGCCTGACTTTCCAACAAACAAGACAACCTACATTCTGCACAACAGCTCATCACCTTCTCCCAGTTCATTCTAACTGGGAAGAATATTATTGCTGAACACTACCAATATGGCAATCATGGGTGGCTGTGGGCAAGTCTCCATTATTACATTCTCCATTTTCCACCATGAAATTCAGTGCTCACTTGGATCATTACTAGCATGTGAGCTTTTTCCACTTCCATAGTGCACTTTTTCTAAAATGTACATATTTTCCCCTATTCATTCCCTTGTTACCAAGAATATAGACATTCCTCCTGTACAAATTTTTGTACATCTGTTGCAAGCTCAGAAATGTATGGCATCCCAATAGAAAAAGCACTTGGATTCAAGAGCTGTGAATTCATTAAACATATATTAAAATGTGATCCTAACACATTCTAATCTGTTGCTAAAAATGAGACAATTCATTATGCCATCCCCCAAATAATAAAATATTTCAGTTTAGCCATGACCAAGGGATTTACAGATTGCCAGAAATAATGCAGCTTGAGTCCACTTTAACTGCCGTGGCTCAGTGCTAGGGAATCATGGGAACTGTAGTTTATTGTGGCATCAGAGCTCTCTGACAGAGAAGGCTCAATGTCTCAGAAAAAAACTACAGTTCCCATGATTACCTAGCACTGAGCCAGGGCAATTAAAGTGGACTCAAGCTGCATTATTTCTGGCAGTCTGTAAAGGCCCCAAGTTCACTTTGGATGAATTTAGATGTTAGTGAAGGTCTTCAGAAAAGAAAACAGGAGACTGGAACATTTCAAGTAATTTTTTTTTCAATCCATTGTGTGGACTGCTTTAATTCACCTGCTTAGTGCAACTATGGCCCAAAGGAGATTGGCCAAAAATGATGCCATCAGGCTGTATTGGGGGCATGGCATATTGGGGGCATGGCTTTTCAGAGGCCAGTTCAAAATTGTGGCAGTGGGTCAGATTGGGGCTGCACATGTGTGGTTGCCATGGCGCTGGTGCAAATGGTGCTGAGGTGGTCCCACTCCACACTTTTTAGGCAGTCTATTTGACCCCTAAATTCCTTTATTCTGAAAAGTTCTCACTCTCTTCCCCTTCTCCTTCCCATTCCCTTGAATAATTGGGCAGGACATGGGAGACTCTGAGCCAGAGGACGAGATCCAGATGTCCATATAACTTTCTGCTTGTTCTTTCTAAAACACATATACTCACATAGGTAGATTCTTTCCTCAGATGTTACTTTTTTATTTTGTGCTCTCAAGTAGGCTTTGACTTATAGTGATTCTTTGAATGGGAGACCTCCAAAAAACTGTTATGAACAATACTGTTCACCCTTGAAAACTCAGGGCTGTGGCTTCCTTTTAGGTGTTACTAACTTAGTTTGAATCAACATGTGAAGAGTGTTGATTCCTCATATGGAAACTGGCAAGTCTGCAGAGATGTGGACTGTCTCTATGCAAACAAAGCTTCTGGGGGGGAAAAATCAAGAGGATTCTCCATGTGAATAGGAGCTGCTCCTCTTTCCATGTAGGAAGACCTTGGTCAAGGGGGTAAGGTGAGTGAGTAATCAAACCAGGTAAGTAATGCCTGAACAGGATTGTATAAATAGGTATAAGCCCCATTCAGGCATGCAAAACCTGATGCATCTCTACATGTGGGTGGGGAGCAGGGCCCAATAGCATCAGGTTTTCACTCATGTGGAGATATATAGCTGTAATCCCTCCCATTTATATTGTGATTCACAACTGAAAAAAAGATGCAATAGATAGTATAAGAACTTTATGTTAGATGCCACTACCATGTTAGTCTGAGAAATGCAAGCATAGCAGGCTGGGGACAATAATGATTGTGCAGCTCTTCCAAATTGTTAAGGTGCTTCATCTTTCCTGGCCTCTGTCTTCCATATAATTCTCCCCATAGCCACGCTTCCCTACCTTATACCTTCTCCAGCATGCTTTTTGGTCTGTATTTATTTTTAGCCCAATTACATGATCATGGCAATCCATTAAGTTAAAAAAAGTTAAAGTTAAGAAAATGAAGAAAACAACAAATACAACAACAACCCACATGGGAATAGTAAGGGGGAGGGAGGAAAGGGGGAGATGACAGAATCATACCCACTTGCACACATGACTGCCTGCATATCGGAACTGCTTCAGGAGAAACTTATAAAGCATGCATCAACAGTGGAAAAGCAGCACGAACGGGAGATATTGATCGGTTTTCCCATCAATGAAAAGTAGCACTCCAGCAGCAGATGGACTACAGACCAGATACTGGACAGACACAGTGTCATGTCATGAGGTACAGTCACAGATACTACTATCCTGCTCAACTTTCCACTTTTCAAACCTTGTGCAATAAAGTCCTAAGAAAAATAGCAATGTACTTGTCAGCTGTTTAATCATAGGCAGTTTTACTATAGTCTATAGTACATTTTATCTCCATTTACTCTTCCTTTCCTTCCCCCCGTTGCTGCCTTCCCCTCACCCCACACTCCATTCTATAGTTCCTTCTTCCAATGGTGATGTGGCTAAGAAATTTTGGCAATTAATTTTTCATATCTCCTCTTGAGGGAACTAGTCCTCCTCTCTGAACAAGTTAGGGTGTGAAACTAAGGACATTCCTGACTGACAAGAACTTCTGTCATCTCCAAGGAGAAGAAATGTGTTGGAAAGGATTGTCTGTCATACTGAAATCTGTTAACTGAATTGAGCACATGTGCTAGGTAATAGCCTTAGAGCTGATAGGGAAGTTTCAACTGTTCCAAAGTGTTTCAAGAAAACAACATCTGCCAAGCTGAGAGTTTATGCTCAGTAGAAAAGTTATTGATCATGGGGAAGTAAGATTTGGATTTATAATTCCTAACTGGTCAAAGATGAGAAATAGTCCAACAGTAGAGAAATAATCTTTTTCTACAAAAAGCTAAAGAGCTCTAACTTTACAATATAACATAGAGCAGATTTTTAAAAAAATACCCGCACAGCTGGAAGTTAATATCAAGGAAATGGTTTCTTCTTTTTGTTTAACATAGAAATTACATATTGTTCCCTGAAATAAGGACATAGACCATGAAATATTGCTACTATTACAAAGCCACCATTCAAAGTCTCCTCTTCAAATCCTGTTGCAATGACCACAAGTATGGTTGCACTAGTGTGAATGAATCATGACTAGGTACTGTATTTCTTGGGCTTAAATGTTGATGCATATCATTGCTTCATTAGCCTGTTTGTGTGTATATGCTTTCAAACAGATTTTTGACTTAAGGTGAAGCATGAGTTTCACAGGATTTTCTTAGGCAAAGAATATGCAGTGGTGGTTTGCCACTGCCATTGCCTTCATCTGAAATATAGCCTACACCACTGGGTATGCACATGGAGTGGGACCCAAGGCAGCTCACAAAAAGAATCAGCTAAAACCCCAACAACATAAGTTTTAAACACAGTTAAACATCATTGCATTAAAACAGGGTTATACAAGGTAAAATATCATTAACAAGCATGCAATAGTTAAAATAAAGCACTCCCTCTATAAGAAAGCTTCCTGCAAGAAGTTGCTCATTAAAATTTATTTTGAACAAAAAAAAAACTTATTTC